GAATATAAGTAACTTGTCTAAAAATGCCCAGTCAACAAGTGACCCAGGATTCAAACCCAAGTGGCTTGAGCCGGGTGTGATGGCACATGCCTATAATCCCAGTGGTTCAGGAGGCTGAGGCAGGAGGATCATAAGTTCAAAGCCAGCTTCAGCAACTTAGTGAGGCTCTAAGCAACTCAGTGAGACCCTCTCTCTAAATAAAATACAAAAAAGTGTTGGGAATGTGGCTCAGTGGTTGAGTGCCCCTGGGTTCAGTCCCTCATAGCAAAAACAACAAACAAACTAAAACAAACCCAAGTGGCCTCTCCACAGAGCTTGACTTCTTCATCACTGTAGGATCCTGATCCCACATAACTGGGCTAAGAAACCACAAACAACACCCTTTGTAATAAATGCTCACAAAAATCCTGTTAGAAATATTTCCCCTAAAGAACCCACAGAGTAGAATAAACTTGTCCAGTGTAGCATCTAGCAGCATGCCTGGGCCAAAATCAATGTCCTACCCTGTACCACGGGGTTTCCCTCTGTTTATAGCTGTTTCTCCTAGCCAGCACCCTGAGGGCAAGAACTAGCCATTTTGTGCCCTGCCCTGCACCCTTCCCAGCAGGACTTTGCAAGGCAGATTGATACATTCTGTTGAAAATGTGATGAAGTAGAAGAAAAACAAGGAGTAAGATGGCTAAAAAGAAAAAAATATATAATTTTTTTCTTTCTTTTAAAAATCCAACAACAGCTTTCTTGAGGGAGKAGGAACTCTGTGTCACTGATTGTTTCAGCATGGGGAAGGCAAGGCAAAGGAGGGGCGCAGGTATACAGACCTGAAGTGTGGATGTCATCACACACAGAGCCCCAGGTGGCATGGCCTCGGCAGGGTGTTCCTCAGCACTCAGCTCTTATGCCCATGGACACAGGGTGCCCAAGGTCAAGTGAATGTGCCTGGCAGGGGGCCCTACAGGCAGCTGAGGACTGTCGACCATCAGGTATTTCTCTCTCTGGAGAGACTGCACAGGGCAGGGGCTGGTGATGGGGTGACTGTGGAAGACAGGGATTTGAAGGCCTGGATCAGCTGTTCTAAGATGCAGGTGAAGAAACTCCTGCTGGGGACACTCCAYTGCAAAGTGGCAGCAGCCACTGCGTGAGCTGATTCAATCACTACAAAGTTCCAGGGAAATGATGCACTGGTCTCACTGCTCCACAGCCCTGTAGCCCTGGGGTAGGTGCTTCTTCACCAAGTACTTTCAACTCTGGCCACAGCAGCAAAGCCTCCTTCTGCCTGCTAAACCCAAATCTCCCTTTTCATTGAGCAAACATAAGCAGCACCTCTAGGAAGAAGTACACTACTCAGTGGAGAGGGAGAGGGCCCAAGTTTCCCCACTCATCTCCACAGTCCTTTACTGGGGCTGGCAACACTCTTTTTCATCCAGTCTGGTGCACATTCTGCCTGGGAGACATCACAGCCCAAAGGGACACAAACTGCTCTTCCCCATCCTGCAAAGAAGCCTCTCACTGGCCTTTCCTGGAGGAGCAGAGACCAGCCAAGGTGGTTCCCTAAGCGTAACCTTTCCTAATGGAAGAGGCTCTTTGCCCGCTCAAGGCCTCTCACCTGGGGAGTGACACCCCTGCTCACAATGTAAAGCTCCACATTGTTAATGGAACCTGGAAGCCCAGTATCATGGAACTGGATCTGTCTCCATGATACACACAGCTCAAACCGAAAAAAAAAATACTCAACCAATCTGACTGCTTTCAGCTACACATCTGGATTTTTTGGACTGCAGAATTTTCCTCCATTCACATATGACTGCCAGAATGCAGCCAGACTTAGTAAAGAAAAACAGCAAAACAAATTCTGGCTGGCGCTTACTTCTCCAGGTCAGTCAGTTCCGCAGCTGCTTTGCTCTCCAGCATAGAAGACATCCGTGTAAAGAAAACTGGGTGGCAGGCTAATGAACCAACACCCCCAAAGGAATCAGCTGCAGAGTGGACACTCCTTGCTAATAGGCACTTTGTTCCAGTTGAGATTTGCAGGATTCATTTTTCCTCCTATAATGGAGATCAAATCGGGGTGCTCTACCACTAAGCTATAACCCCAGTCTTTTTTATTTTTTATTTTGAGACAGGGTTTTGCTGAGTTGCCTAGGCTGGCCTCAAACTTCGTGATCCTCCTGCACCAACCTCTTGAATAGCTGAAATTACAGACTGTACCACTGCACATGGTGAGGAATTGATTTTTTTAAAAAATTTTGCCTAACTTGATATATCTACTTGGATGTCCAGTAGGTATTTCAAACATCGATATGTCCAAAAGTGAGCTCTGATAGGATCACACCCCAACTTTTCCTCCTACAGCTCGCCCCACCTCAATGACTGTGCGGGTCCCTTCAGTGCTCAGGCAAGAAACTCTGGCGTCATCCTGGTSTCTCTTTTTCTCACATCCCACTTCCAATTCACCAACAAGTCTAGCTGGGTCTACTTTCAAGGTGTCCCCAGAATCTGAGCTCTCTACTCCACCTCTGCTGTGTGGTGCCACATCAGGTCTGCCTGGAGGACATGACCGGCCTCCCTGTGGGTCCTTTCTTTCTCCTCTGACAGCTTAATCTCAATAGTCCTTAGAGCAGCCTCTCAAAATCTGAAGTCAGATCACATCCCCCTTCTTCTTGAACCCCTGTAATGGCTCCCAACATCCTTGGGCATCTGCAAGGTCCTGTGTTCCCTGGACTCAACTCACTCTGTCCCGCCTCCCCTCCCCTTCGGCCAGGCTGGTGACTCCTGTCCCTGAAACACAGGTGCTTGCCACCCAAGGCCTGCAGACCTGCTGCTTTCTCTACCTGTGCTGCTATTCCCCGGATTTCCTCATGGCTCTCTCCTGACTTAGCTTTTACTCCAGTGTTACCCTCTCAGTGAAGATTTCCTTGTTCCCCCTCATCAAACACCTCAGGATTCCTAACACTTCTTAGCCCCATCCATGATTTCTTTCTTTCCTTCCTGGCACCTATTACTGACACATTATATATAAACTTGTTCATCTTGTCCTCCCAGTCCAGAGCGTGAGCTCTGTGAGATCCAAGATGTTCACCCACTCCGTCCAAGTGCTGGGACCAGAGCAGTACGTGGTGCCAAGTGAAGTCAGATCACATCCCCTTCTCAAGAAATGTTTATTGGGTGACTGAAAGCAGGACAGACCAGTACTTTTAACCCAAACACCCATTTTGAATGAGCCAAACTGGCTTACAAAATTAACAAACAAAAAATGAGCTGATTCGACGATGAATGATACAAACCAGAGAATGTGACCAAAGCCACTGAAATTCCACTCCTTACAGTGGTGACCTAAGAGATGGGCCCCAGCTGTTCCATTGAGAACAAGTAAAATATGAAAAAAATCATATTTAATATGGAAAACATGCTCTAGAGAGATATGCCTGACACAAAGAGCTGCTTTTGTCCTGTAGGCTTCTGCTGACATGGAAGAAGCAGCTAGAAACTTTACTGCACTCTCAGCCTATTCTAGGAGATGGTGGACCAAAGTCAAAGCATAGAGTCTTCCAGAAAAAACAGACATGATGCCCTGATCCCACTCCAAGCTGAGACCTCCAAAGCCTAACACTTCCAGGGTGAGGATGAGCTAGGAGAGACCAGTCCTACAGGCTGATTGTTCTCACCTGGAGCACTCACAGAACTACAAGCCTCAAACTGTCAAAAGTGGTCTCAGACTGACAGGGCCCTGAGTCCTGAAGGAGCTAACAAAACTCTTTCTGGAGGAAGGTAATGTCATCTTAAGCCACAATTTACTCCTATATATAAACTTTTTTTTTCTTTTTTCTTTTTGGTATCAAGGATTAAATCCAGGGGTGCCATCCCCAGCCCTTTTTTATATTTTATTTAGAGACAGGGTCTCACTGAGTTGCATAGCGCCTCACTTTTGCTAAGGCTGGCTCTGAACTTGCRATCCTCCTGCCTCAGCCTCCAAGCCACTGGGATTACAGATGTGCACCACCATGCCTGACCTACATAAACTTTCAAATATACTAAATGGCACACAGAGATGATCCAACAYACAGAGAAACAAGACACCAAGGAGTAGGAACAGGCAGCAAAAGGGGAAAAAAGAAAGAAAGATGCCAAACAGACTTAGAAATAAATCTCAAGACACTGGAATGTTAGACACAGGCTATTATGCAACCAAGCTACTGTGTTCAAAGAACTAAAAGCCAGAAATTACAGTGGAGAAGCAGATCATATTAAAAACAATTCAAAAAATAAATAGAAATTCGACAGCAAATACCATTGAATATGTAGAATGTTTACAGCAAGCAGGGAATTGAACTTGGGGGGGAACATCATGACGTTGGTCATCTGACCTTAACTTCCAATAAAGACAGGGAAATAGGGAATGTTGAAAGTGGGGGTAAGCATTCATTTTACATGTTTATCTGCTGGCAGGAAAACAGCCTGTCAGCAGCCACAGAAGGATAGATTCCGAAATCCCAAGAGAGGGAGGTGAAAAGCAAGCTCTGCACAAGAGACTTGGTAAAAAGGGAAAGGAATAGAACCAGGATCCAATTTCATCCCCATCTGCACCCACAAACATGGAAGTATAACATTTATATGCTTTCTGGCAAACCCTCAGTACAGACCCCAMCATTTAAACAAAACCTCCCAACTGCTTCCAGCTTGTGGGTTTGAAGTCTACTGGCCGAGAATAGGAACACTCCACTGTCTCACATAGAATCTGTCTGCTCTCCTCCCTATCAGGGATTCTCAACTCAAGTGATGCTAGAAATAACCATCACCCCTGCAACAAGCAGCTGTGTCACATCCCGTCCCCTCCCCCTCCCCCACAGCCTCCCCACACTGGCTGCTATCTTTACGCCACAGGACAGACAAGAGAAAAACAATTAGTCAGCCCGGGTTTTGCCCACTTTCCCCACCACCCATATTATTCAAAACACAATGACTGCAGAAAACAAGCTAGCTTTAGAGGCCAAGCAGGCACCTACAGGTCTGAAGGACTTGAAGACTTTTTCCAAGACTTCATGGAGTGTCTTCTTGCCGCAGGAGGAGATGTAATCCTGCGCTAGCTGCAAGAAAGGCAGGCAGTCCTCGCTCTCGCTCCACACGTGCTGCGTGCCCCCATGAGGGCAAGGAGAAAACAAAGACACACAGGTCATTATCCTCGGGGTGAATCACAGACTGCCATGCAGATTTTTTTTTTTTTAAATTACATGAACCTGAAGACGGCTCTAGTGCACAGTGAAATCCATATGTTCATTCTGGATTTGTTTGCCTGGAAGGGGGTCAGAAAATCTCTAATCCACAGAAGCCCCAAGCTCTGGTTCCTGCTCTCACCTGTTCTGTTCCCCATCTGCTCACAGGTAGCAAAGAGGTCAGGGGGGTGGACATTCCTCACTTGTGATTTCCACAGCTCACCTGCTCCAGCAGGCTAAGGGTGGTTTTAAGATGGTAGGAGAAGCCAGAGCCTTTGCCTTCAAACTCCTTAACTTTGCCTTCAGCTATGCTGAAGGATTAATTAAGCATAGCTCATAATCCGAACTTGGAACAAGATGTTCCTTACCCAGATCAGCCTGCGAGTGGGGGTGGTGGTAAATTTACTTTTTTTAAATGAAATGAACTTAAGAGAGCACAAAAAGTCCACAAGAAGTCAAAGGTTTGGGAAACAAAGGTTTGCTAAAAGCTGACCACCCTGAACATGCTCTAAGAGAGCACTGCACACGCAGAGAGGAAATGGGTTTTAAGTTTTATTTTATTCCTAAGGCTCGATAAAGTTTTCCTCCACATGAGCACATCTTAAAGGTGAGGCAAACCTCTCCCCAAACTGTGCAAGACTCTGGACTAAGCCCAAGAAGCAGGCTGGAGAGATCTGAATGCAGAAGCCCCAGCTCTGCATATCTGAGGAAGACTCTCGGGTAACAGGCTTCCAGGATAACAAGRAGTCTGTCAAGTACAAGGATCTGTTTCAATAACAGGTTCAACACTGATAAAACTGCATGAGGCCAAGGAGAGGGTTGGATATTTGGTGGACTGGAACAAGTTACAGGGGCTAGGCCACAGGGAATGAGATCTTTCTGGAGAAATGGCCAATGTCAGGTACACAATCGCCCCCCTTCTATTCATACAAATGATTAAAGAATCACCTAGAAAGTTATGCTCGACACTCAATAAACACATTTCATTGCCTTCCTTCTCACTGCAGGATTTCCAAGAACTAGATCTGCACACTTCAAATGCTCCCAGATCCAAGTGAGGATAACTAGGTGCTAACGTGCCATTTTCATACCCCAATTATCTGTGTTTCGCAGTTGTAAAGGTCCATTTCCAACACCCGCTGCTCTAATTCCAGCAGACTTCCAGAGCTTCCTCCTCAACCTAATAAAGACAACAGCCAGGCCCTCTAGCTTAAGAGAACAGCTTAAATGTTCTTCCCTATTAATTAGAGACCCTTAATGCTGTCAAGCCACTGAAATGTCACTTATGTAATAGTCTCTTACATTGTACGAAAGTCTGGTAGTACAAAGCACTTTTATATCCATTACCTAYATCACTTGATTCTTAATTAACGGAGATTCAGCAAGAACAACAAAGTTCTACTCTATTAAGTTCTGCTCAGCATTCATTTCACCCTCAAATCTGTAAAGTTTCAGCTAATTTCAAATTAGGACCCAACCTGGAACTGAGATTAAAATCTAGCAACTCACAATTTGAAGCCTACCATCCCTAGACTTAGTGTCAAGGTTAGAAAGTGAAAAATTGAAATTTTATTAAGTGCTTGGCACAGTGCCAGGCTGGTACACAGTGTGTATCTGAGTAAGAACCTTCTTTCCACTTTTGCATCTGCAGGAGGATGGGGGAGAAATGTTGAACTTTCTGCCTTCCACATTGCTAAGGTGACTCAATGAGTAAACCAGATACCCGGTGTGACTTTACCCTGAATTCAGAAGTAGGTGGATCTATGAAAAACTGGTATACATACTTTTTTGTTGAAAGTGCATTTGGGCTTAAAAGTACAAAGTCAACAGAAAACCTTATAACTTAACAGAATTACAATGTATCCACTACCTCCTGGCCATCAGTTTATTCAGATAAGTGTTTGCAGGCATCTCTAACCTCAKGAAGAGATTGTTCATGCTGCAATGTCCATTACTCTCCTTTTGGAGTCACTTATTCATACATATGTTAGAGAAGGAAGACCTAAAACCCACCAAAGGGCCTTGTGCCCAATTTCCTTTATTTAACTCTCTACTTCTCCCTGGAGTCCCAGTTTTGTGGATTAAAACAAACAACCAAAAAAAAAAATTTAACTGAATCTCTCTATCCATACACAAATCTAGGTGGACATGGCCACTTAAAAGACATCTCCATTTGCTGACTTCTATTGTATTATATCCACTGCATCTCAGAACAAAAAGYATTTCACTTTATTTAAGCTGTTTCTTTCCAAAACTAATGAAGGCTGGTGGCAAAGAGTCATAGGATACAAGACAAGCTGAACTGAAAAATAAGTCTGCAGTCAGGGGGAAAAAAGGACAAAGGTAAAATAATGGAAGGAAAATAAGCTAAAACTAAGAGTGAGAAGAGGACAAACAGAGGAAGATGTGCGGGCCTGGCCACTTGTTACAGATGGGACACAGAGCTGGTGCTAACGCTTTTTCTAAGCAGCCCAGGCAAAGAAAGAAAAATCACCTCCCATCAGTGTCCCCAGAGAAGACACCCAGGCACTTCAGGACAATCAACAGACAAAGGTTTGAGGGCAGAGGGTTATTTTCTCAGAAAAATAGAGGGGGTCCACATTAAAACCAAGGAAGGCAGAGAGAATGCTTGGGGGCAGGGCTGATGGCCCTGAGAACAGATTTGGTGGTCTAGTCTCATAGAAAGACAAATAGGTGGGCAAAGACTCAGAGTGCTGGGGCCACAAGGCATGGCCATAGTAACTCCAACTGGGAAAATATTTTAAGCATATAACCCAACACCCATCTTTGATTTCAATTCCCAAGAAATTCCAGTGCCAGGCTGGTACACAGTGTTGTAACAGCATGCTGCTGTTCTGGGTCACACTTTGAAAACCAGGCAAAGAGCAGAACTTTAGCTAATCCTATTTAGAGTCATAACGTAGGAGTGGTGGTACATTTAAAATCTTTCTGGAAGACCTCAAGCAATGCCATTATTGACTACAACCAATTCCAAATCTCATATTGGGGTAAGCTTTAGTGAAGTGGCATTCACAATAAGAGGCCCATATTAGTACAGGCAATCTGTCCCTTCTTTCTGTTAAGGTGGGAAGGAGTTTATTATAAAAGCTCACCCAGCTAAGAAAATAAAACCATGCCACCTATAAATAAGCAAATGAACACCTTTCCCTTTTCTACATTGTAGATGAGAATACCTAGTTTGTCAAAAAATGGTATTAAATCATTAAGGTAATTTGATCCTTCTTGTTTCGTGTATAAGCTGTGTGTTCCTACTATTCTAAATCCTGGTGGGCATGCTGCTGGGCCTCTGGGTGCTTAAGCTAGTAGTGGTTTGTGGGTGTTAAGAACACATACATTTCTACTCTCTGGACAGTTATCTGAGTCAGGGCCCTTGCTATGGGCCTCTCTCATTGTAGTGTAGTTGGTCTTTTTATCCACAATTCTGTATGTGTGGCTCCACATCCGTGTAGAATATCAGGAGAAAACTGTGTCTATACTATATATGTGAAAACTTTTTTCCTGACATTATTCCCTAAACAAATAGAGTATATATAACACTTATAATGTATCTTATATTGTATTACGCATTATAAGTCTATAGAAGAGAGTGTGTAGGTTGTATAAAAACACTACATCATTTATATAAAGAGACCTGAGCATCCTCAGATTTTGGTATCCAAGATAGGACCTGGAACCGGTCCATTAAGGAAACCACAGGTCAACTGAACAGATGTGTGAGTTTTCTGCCATTCTAAGTCCATTCTGAATTGGTGCAGCTTAATCCGGAACTGATTTCTGTCCATAGGACAGCTGAACATAAAAGCCACAAACCACCCAACATGATCAGATGTATCTAAGTAGAGCCTGCTCTTTGTGTCAACCATTAACCCATTTTACCACAGGCCAAACTGAGGCTCAGAAGGGTTAACTTGCCTGTGGTTATACCAGGAGCAAGGGGGAGAGCCAAATATCAAGCACATGCACTTTCAACTGTACTTTTCAAAATGTTTAACTGAGCCTCCGTCATCTATTTGTAAGTCAAGGAAGATGATTATATTCACAGGGGGGTTCTAAAGATGACAGGAATCACCTGTATACTGCCTCTCATTTAGCAGAAACCTAGTAAATGCTTATTACCACCTATTTAGATTCATATTAACATAACTTGATTCTCTTAGGTTTACCACTCCACAAACACAAATCACCTATCTTTTCTCAGAAGTGGCCTCTCTGTATGGACAATGCAYAGCCCCTGCGAAGTGTCACATGCTGGCAAGCACCTTCGAATCACTACTCACATAAATCCTCATGGTGATTATGCAATGCAGGTATGCCTGACCCAGTCTGATAAATGAAGAAATTGAGGGTAGCTCTGAAGTAGAAGAGGAAGTCTTCTCTTTCCTATATACCACCACATAAACATGATGTGATCTCCTTTAAGTTATATAAGTTATATTTTCTCTCTCCCAAATGAAAAGGTTGTTATTTAATCAACTAACTAGTTGAGAATAGAGACATGCATAGACCACAAAGGGGGGAAATATACATATATACAATAAGCAAACACACATATATAAAGTCAAATCACACAGTCCTTCCATACAAAATCTTTTTAATTATGACAATGGTTATCTTTGCTTTTGAATTGAAGGAGGATTAAACCACCCAGAATTTTGAATCCAAGCATGTTTCTGATGAGCTGACAGAGGGGGTGGGTCAATAAAGGAAATGGCTCCTCTCTCCTGTAATCATGAGCACCCAGGCCTGGAGGGGCAGGGCAGAGGAAGGAAGAAGCCCAGCTGTGCTCCCAGGAAGGGATACACATGTGGTCACTCTGTGGGTAGGGCACTTGAGCGGCTGCCAACACTCCACCCACTCCTCAGGCCTGACTGAGCCTTGGACCTTCTGAGTTGCAGAGGAATGGGCACACCGGCCTGCCCGTGAGCTCTCACCAGGGCCCAGGGGCCCTTGCTGTCACACCTGTAAAGTTAGGCGGGGTGGCCTGGCCCTGAACTCCCTCCACAAAAGAAACTGGAGGGGTTTTGGTTTGGGGGCTTTCTTTGCGAAGCTGGGGACCTAACCAAGGGTCTCATGCAGGCTGGGCTGGCATGGCACCACTGAGCTGCAGCCCCACAACTTTTTTATCCAAGGTACTACCCATTCACAGGGAGGGGTCCCAGTCAGGGAGGCAGTCTGGAAAGGAACAACATGGTTGGGATGCCCTGTGAAGTGAGAGGGAAAGAGTGCACAAGGGACCCAGGAGCCATCAAAGTGAAGGGACAATCAAAATAGGTCCTTGCTTCTGGCTCTGAGCTACTGACGTGATCCTGCCTACAGCCACTCTACCTGGTGACAGAACAGGGATCTGGGCTGGGCTTCAGTCCTGCCTCTGTCACTTCTTAGCAGTGTACTTCTTAGCACTGTGGTGAGTACCTTACACTCACTGAGCCTCAATTTACTCAACCATAGGCAGTAATGATATCTACCTACCTCAAGGGATTTTTGTGAGGCCCAGGAACAAGTCACCCTTGAACTGCAACTGGATTGGATGCCCTGGATTGAATGGTCCAAGAGGAGGTGAGAGAGGCACCAAGAGACACACTATGGAGGGGCTAGAGTCTATCACTCTCGTGATGCTATGTATTCAACCTGAGGCTACAGTCCAGGTCGTTCTACTACTCTTTAACCATGGGTAAGTCAATAAACCTCCCAATACCTCAGTTTCCCCATCTGTAAAACAGGGATAATTATACAGAATACCTGTGACACCTTAAGATTCAATAAATTCAAATATGCAAAGTGTCTGGAACAGTGTCAGATACATAGTAAATTGAACATAAGTGGTGCACTGCTGACTCTTTGAAGTCTGATTCTTGAAATCTAACCTCTGTCTTCTACACTAGACTGTCACTTATCCACTCTTTTCCCCTTTTTTACAGTCCTGGCAATTGAATCCAAGGGTGCTTTACCACTGATCTACATTCTTTTTTATTATTTATTTTGAGACAGAGTCTCATCAARTTGCCCAGACTGGACTTAAACTTGCAATCATGACCTCAGATTCCCAAGTAGCTGGGATTACAGGTGTGTGCAACCAGGCCCAGCTCATTCATTCATTCTTACAAATGTGTATTGAGCATATACCAATTATCTGACACTGTTCCAGGTACTGTGATACAGTGATGAATAAGATAAACAAGGTCTCTGCTCCAGGAACTTGTAGTCTAGTGGAGAACACAGAAAACAAAAAGAGGATATCCAGCCTAATGAGTGCTGATAAGAACAAAAAACATGAAATGAAGGAGGAGAGGTCAGGAAGGCTTCTCCCAGGCCTGCATGCCATAAAGAGCCAGTCATGTAAAGATCTGGGACAAGGATGTTCTAGGCAAGGAGAACAGCAAGGGCAAAGGCCTCGGGGCAGGAAAGAGCTTGGCATGAATGAGGCCAGAGAGATCAGTATAGTAGAAACACAGAAGTAAGCAAGTGAGAAGAATGATCCAAAAGGAGGTGAGAGAGGCACCAAGAGACACTTTATGTAGGGGCTGGAGGCCTGGGCGAGGTCTTGGGTTTTATTGCCAAAGGGAAGGGAAGTCAGTTTAGGTGAGGTGGGGAGTGGGTGGTGGCAGGTGGGTACTACAAGCATGGAGACAAGTTAGGAGATAAGATGAAAAATGATAGTGGCTGAGGCTACTGCGATAGTATGAGAGTACAGAAAAACAGGTGGACACTGCATGCTTTTTGAATGCAATTCTGGCAGAATTTTGGTGAGTTAGATTCAGAGAGTTGTAGAGTGAGGTTAAAGACCTCCTTTAGATTTTTGGCTCCAGGAACTAGATGGACAGTAGAATTTATAGAGCTAACAGCACAATGGGCTACCAGTATTGAGCACTTGTGCTTTCTCAGCCTACTTGTGCTCTTTGGAGAATAAGCCAGGAACTACATTCTCAAGCAACCCTGAAGATACTACTAAAACCTTGACCCCCCTTGAAGCACCAATCCCAAGTAACCTTGCTAGGGAGGTTACAGATGTTGAAGCTGTGGCATAGAGGGCACAACCCTAACCCTAACCCTAACCCTAACCCCAGGGCACACGGAGCTGGGACTTCTGACCCCAAAGTCTGTGCTAACCATTGTGCTACACTGCTTCTTAGCTAGGTAAACTGGCCCCAGGATTTGTATGCTAGACAGCTATGGCCCAGCAAAGAATAAGCCCTCAATAATTGGTTAAATAAAACAAATGTTGTGAAAATACCTTGTAAATTGAGAGATGGCTATGTAAATACATTAACAAATCTTTCAAATAACAGGGATTCCACTCAACTCAAATTTCTACTAATGCTTAACATATTTTCCTGGGAAAAAAAGGAAAAGAACTAGGGTAGGACACTCATTAGAAGCAAACAGTAATTGGACACACCTGGCCTCCAGGGGATTCAAGAAAAAATTAAGTTAAAAAAACTACTGCAGTTGGCATCTTGTCCATTATGGCTTCCAGAAACTTTTGAGAAAGTTACAGTCTACCTGAGGAATTGTTTTTTTTTTTTTTTTTTTTTTTTTACTTCTCTCTTCTTATTTATCTTCCACCCCACCTTTATCTTCTTTATTCCATTTAAATTGTTAGTCAACATTTTCAATGTGGGTGGCCTCAGGAAAAGGGCCTAATACAAATAATGTTTCTGAATGATGATTTGACAACATCCCAGGCAAGAGAATGGACTTGTGCCTTCCTCGGTGTACTTGTGCTCTTTGGAGTCATTTCTGTGGTGTGTCCCCTGTAGTCTGGCTGTGTGGAACCCTCCCCATAAAATCCATGAACCATACCCAATTTCACACAGTAGGGAGGAGGAGGGGCACTAGAAAACTATGGAAGTTGAGAGCTGGGAGGGACTCCTAATCACAACCTAACATTTTACAGTTAGTTGGATCTTGATTCCCTTTCCACCTATCCCTGGGGTTTTTGCATACTTTTCCAATGGAGTGAATCCCAGTACAGTTAACCTGTGCTTACATGTATTAATAGCTTACTTGCTCTTCAAAAGAACCCTATGAAAGCCCACTTTACAGTTGAGAAAACTGAGGTTCTTAAAAAAAGAAAGACAAGCTCTAAACTCTGGAAAACAGGTCTCTGAATCCCAAATTTGTACAGCCCTTGCTTAAGAGAGACTGTCAAGGTGTTCTACCTACATGACTATCAGGGCACTGTTATTATTACGCTCATTTTGTGGATATATGGAAACTGGGCTCAGGGAAGGGCGTCTGATAATAGCCGCACAGGGAGCACTCAAATCTGGCTGTCACCCAAAGCCACCCCTCTTCCATGGTGACGCAAAACGGGGCTCAGGTGGGTTCCTCCCCTCAGCGAGGTGGGGATGGTGGGAGGGGCGTGCATTATCCGCCAGGCTTGCACCAGACTTCACCTCTCCGGGTCCAAAAAAGGCACTCTAGCTCTAACTCCTTCGCGAACTTCCCGCGGCTGACTGGGGCGCGCGGCAGTAAAAGCCACAGCCCAAGCTTTGTCTCGCCCCACCTGAGGAGCCTGCGCCAGGCCGCGCCTCTGCGCCGCCCCATCCGTCGGCAGGGACAGCAGCAGCGCCAGCTCCAGGCTCAGGCCGGCGACCACACGGTAACCCGCGTCCACAGCCGCCTCCATCTTACATTTGGGGACCATATTTATTCCCCGCGCTCACAAACACTTCATGGAACGCCATCCTCGCTTGGTCTCCACGCCCTTCCACTGCAACTTCCCTGCCCTCTGCATCCTCTTCCTAAACTGTCAGTGCCAAGATCCCAAGTGGGCTCAGGATGCGAAGTCGAAGGTATAGACACCGCAGGTTCAGGTCCAGGTCGCTCCTAGCCAAGGGTGTAGGGGATTCCCCTTCCCCTGGAAAAGCCAAAGGGGCTTCGGCATGGCCGCAGCCGCCTCCGGACCGACAGAATCCGCCCCGGTCACACGCACCTCACCTCGCTGGAGGCTCAAAGAGGAGCAATGGAAGCACGGGGAAAAGGGGGATAGGCGTGCCCGAGTGCGTGTATGTGTGTATGTGCGTGCGTGTGTGTGTGTGTCTGTGTATTGGGATGTATGCGCACGCGCGCGTGCGTTTTTAAGATCCAGGGTGTAATTCCGCAAAGAAGGTCCAGGAGATCGGGCATCGTTAATGTGGACAGAGGCTTTGTGTCCAAACAGGCGGCACAGGGAATAACAGGGAGGGGATTGAGGGTTCTCCCGAACCCGGCAATTGGTGGAGTTGTGTCTGCGCACTGGGAGGGGAACGGGATTCCTCACCAGGACGGGACGCCCGGGTGTAGGAAGCTCCGGACTTCGGATTCTTCAAGAGGGACCCAGTGCCCCAGCCCAGGTCCGTGCGATGCGGCTGACATCCCCAGGATGTTCGAAGCCAAACACAGCCCTTCAGCAGTGGGGTCGCGTTCTCAAAATAGCGTCCGCCGAGGGTAAGGGGTGGACTCCGGAAAACGCCACACCTCCCGCCCCAGTCCTGCTCCCCGGATCCTACGGGCGCCCAGCCCGACACCCACCCGCCCCACCCGGGGCGCTGACACCGCGGCGCCTGGCCCCGGGGCTTCCCCTACCCAGCTGGGAGCAGCGGGTGCGCAGCGGCCAGCGGGTTACGCCTCCCCACCGCGCGGAAGCTCCGGCGCAGCTACGCGGCCGCAGCGTCCACAGTCCCACCCGCTCCAGCGGTCCCTCCCCCCAAGCGCTCACAAAATTGTCGCCGCAGCCGTTGTCCGGACACAGCACGTAGAAGGAGACGCCGGGGTCGGCGTAGAAATCCATCCTGCGCTCGGTCTCCTCGGTGGCGATGAGCTCGAAGGGCGTGTTGGAGCACCATTTCTCCGCAACGTCGGCCAGCTGCTGGAAATCCATCGTGGCCCGCCGCGCCCGCCGCCGCTCCCTCCGCYTCGGCGCTCGCCGCCCGCCCCGCTCCCTCCGCCTCCCGCCGCCGCCCTCCTCGCTCCTCGGCGCCCTCCTCCCGGACGGGCAGCACTGCGCGACGCTCCGCTAGGCGCGGGTCCGGGGCGGCGGCGGGCCGGGCAGGCGGACTCCCTGCGGGTCCCTGGGCTCGCGCCGACGGGGACTGTTTACATGCGGTGTGTAACGGGGGCGGGCGGCGGCCGCGGACGGCGCGGCGCCGCGCCCGCGGCTCCTCCTCCGCCCCGCCTACCCCCGCCTCTTTCGGGCCGCGGGCGAGGCTGGCGCGGCCGGGGTGCGGGGCGCCTGGCGGGGCGGCGGGTGACTCCGCGGGCCGGCGGTTCTTCTCCTCCGCCCCCCTACCCCTTTATTTTTAAACGAACCGGAGCATCCCGGGGCCCTCGCCAGTGCGGGGCCGCCCCGGCCCGTGACGTCATGGACCTGGGCCAATCCCCGCGCCGCGGCCCGCGAGCCGGGTGACATCACAGCGCGGGCCCGGCCTCAGCCGCTCGGCAGCCTCGGGGAAAGCGGGCGACGTCCTGGCACTCCGTTAGCGTTCTGTGGAGTTAGAAAGTCCGGGAAGGGTTTTTCCGACTGCGATTTAAATGCCACGGCGCCTACAGAAGTGCAGATAACTTGAACCTTGTCTGAGGCAAATTGTAGAGGAGCTGAGAAAAATCTAAGGGAAACGGAGCTTTTCCTTTTACAAAGACTAAAGTTCTGTCTTTAATGTAAAGGAATGTCTTCCGTTAATGCGTTTACCAGACATGGATATGAATGTCTATTTGGAAATGAAGGGGTTTTTTTTGCGTTTTATATTTCTTAGGAATAAGTCTCATAAGTCTAGCTTTAGTATTATTCTGCTTGCATTCATATTGCATAACCTAAAATGGTCAACTGCTGGGTTGGAAGAAGAGAAAGCACAGGGCCCAGCGACTGTACCTGTTGAATGCTCCCTGGCTGCCCAGGATCCGACAGACATTGCTGGATTACAGAAAAATGAGTCCTCACGCACAGAACTGAATGACTACCAGCAGAGAGACGTTAAATAACATTCATTCTACAAACTTTCAATCAGCGTTTATCCTTGAAGTGTGTCCTGTAGTGAGCATCGCCACTCTCAATGAACTGGTAAATCAACCAAGGGGCATTCAAGACATTATGAACCCACTGAACACACCTTGTACTCAATGGGCTAGACTTGATTCCGGAAAATAGTCTGCTTTGTATATTTATGGAGTAGGAATTTTTCCCTTGAACCGCCCCCCCATGTTTAAATTAAAACTATGTTTCGGTAGCAAAACACCTCATATCTAAACCGTTAGAAACTCTAATTACTTTTTTGGAGGAGAAAGAGGGTAGGGCAGTGATGAGCACAAAGGCATCGGAGGCATTGCATCTTTTCTGATCTTTTTCCTGCTGGGAGCTGTCCTGTTTTAGTTAGCTTTTCATTGTTGTGACCGAAATACTTGACAAGAACAATTTGGAAGAAGAAAAGTTTATTTTGGCTCGAAGTTTCCCAGGTTCAGTCCATGGTGGGCTGACTCCACAGTTCAGGACCCCAGCAATGCAGAACATCAAGGTGAAAGGGTGTGGAGTAAGAAAGGAGCTCAGAACATGGCAACCAGGAAGCAGAGAGAGAACTCTGCTCACTTGGGACAAAATATAAACCCCAAAGGCACATCCCTAGTGACCTACCTCCTCCAACCACACCCTACTGCCTACAGTTATTGTTCAATTAATTCATATGGGTGGATTAATCCACCGATTAGGTTATAATTCTTGACATTGTTTCACACATGAACTTTTGGGACACCTCATATTTAAACCATAGCCTGTCCTTAACTAGAACTTCATGTTCCCTGGAACAATTTTCTGGCCTTGACTGTCTTCCTTTAAAACAATATAGCTCAGTCACTGAGTATGGAGCATCTACTGGGTACCAAACCCAGATGCATAAGGCCCAGTTTTTGGCCATGGAGGAATTTCCTGACTGAAAACTAGACAGGATTCTAAGATGACTCCCAAGATCCCTGTCCCTCCTGGTATGCACACACACATTTTCCCAATTATTCAGTCAAACAATAGTTTTGGTGCTGCTCTGAAGAATATTGCAGATGCAATTAAACTCAAATCAATTGACCTTAAAATGGGAGATTATCCTTGGCAGGCCTGGCCTAATTAGGTGATCCCTTGAAAGATACTGGGCTCTTCCTGGAGAGAAATTCAAAGCACCAAGTGGCTTCATCACCTCATGAGAGGTTTTCTACTGATGGCTTTGGAGATGGAGGGACCAGAGAGCAGTGTCTAGGTGCTGAAAGCAGGGAGCAGTGCTCACAGCCAGCAGGGTCACAGAGACTTCGGTCCTATCATACAAGGGACTAAATTCTGTTAATGACTCGAGTGAGCTTAAGTAGATTTCCCCCCACAGTCTCCAAACAAGAACTGAGTCTGACAGGGTGGATTAATTAATTAATGGGTGGATTAATCCACCCATATGAATTAATCGGACAATAACTGTAGGCAGTAGGGTGTGGTTGGAGAAGGTAGGTCACCAGGGATGTGCTAAGGGTTCATCTAGTTAGCAGAGAACCCAGTTATGTCACAGCTGTGATGGGGCTTTGGACTTTCAGACCAGTAAGACAATAAATGGCGCGTGTTGTTTTAGGCTTCTAAGTTTGCTTAAATTTCTCCTGTAATCCTAAGAAACTAAAACATGGGACAATGAAGGATACAGGGACATGAGTGAAAAAAATTTGTTATACTGTTATACAGTTGCAGGATGATTAATTTTCATTCTTTCAAACTTTAACACAGAAGTGGCAACAACCCTAACTATACAGTATTAATAATGACCAACAATATATATAGCTACTATTAAAAGGCAAAACTTAATTTTTACTCAACAATATTGAGAAAATTTGTCTTTTTGGAATGTAAAGACTGCCTGAATAAAAGCTGCCAAGTACTAGATTTGAGGATATCAACATTTAAGTAAATTTATATGATTCAAGCATAACTTCTGAGCCACATCTCTAGTCCTTTTTTAAAAAAATTTTTATTTTGAGAAAGTGTCTGGCTAAGTTGCTGAGACTGGCTTCAAACTTGTGAGCCTCCTGCCTCAGCCTCCTGAGATGCTAGGATGACAGGCATATCCCACTGTGCCTAGCAGTTCATCTGATTTTTGCATTTAACAATGTAACTAATTTTATCAATAGGATGGTTGATAATCAACCTGATTATAATGCTAAATAGCAAATAATTTTTCACTTTTTAATTTACAATTTGACTTTTATTCCATATTTTTATTGGCACATTATAATTATACATCATAGTGGGATTTTTGTTACAGATTCATATATGCACATGAAAGAACAATATGATTTGATCAATGTAGTTTCCGAGTATTTCCCCTTTCTCTCTCTCCCTTCCTCCCCTGGTCCTTTTCCCCTAGACTACTGGTCTCCCTTCTGGTTTCATGAAACTGCCTCCCATCTTTCTTTCCCTTTTTCCTTTCTAGTTTCTGCATATGAGAGAAAACATACAATTTTTTACTTTTTGAGTTTGGCTTATTTCACTTAACATAATGTTCTCAAGTTGCATCTATTTTCCTGCAAATGATATAATTTMATTCTTCTCTATGGCTGAATAAAACTCCATTGTGTAGATGTACCACATTTTCTTTATCCATTTATCTGTTGACAAACATCTAGGTTGATTCCATAACTTGGCTATGGTGGGTTGTGCTGATATAAACATGGGTATGCATGTAGCATTACAGTGTGATGACTTTAATTCTTTAGGATAAATACTGAGGAGTGGTGTAGCTGGGTCATAAGATGTTTCCATTCCTAGTCTTTCGAGGAATCTCTTTTATGATTTCCATTGTGATTGTACAAATTCACACTCCAAGCAATAATGTAAAGTGTTCCTTTTCCTCTACATCCTCTCCTGCATTTATTATTCTTTGTATTCTTGATGACCGCCATTCTGACTGGAGTGAGAAGAAATATCTGTAGTTACATTTCCCTAATTAGTAAACATGTCAAACATTGTTTCATTTATTTGTTGGCAATTCATATTTATTATTTTGAGAAGTGATAGTTTAGATTATTTGCTCATTTGTTGATTGGGTTGTTTGTTTTCTGGTATGAAGTTTTTTGGGTTCTTTATATATTTTGGATATTAATCCTCTGTCAGAAGAGTAGCTAGCAAAGATTTTCTCCCATTCTGTGGGGTCTCACTTCACATTCCTGATTGTTTCCTTTGCTGCACAGAAGTTTTTTAAATTTGATGCTATCACATTTATTAACCCTTGACATTATGTCTTGAGCCTTAGGAGTCCTATTGAGAAAGTCATTTCCCATGCCTAAAAGCTGGAGTGTTGACCCTATGTTTTTTCCCCCCYTAGGAGTTGTATAGTTTCTGCCCTAATTCTTAGGTCTTTAATCCATTTTGAGTTGAATTTTGTGCAGGGTGAGAGGTAAGGGTCTAGTTTCCAGAATGTTCTTTTTAAAATGTATCTATGGGCACCTCAAGGTAGCACAAGGTTCCTTATCATTTTGCCTGGTTCTGTCATTTAAAACATAATTATATATTAGTTTGGAAATTTCAAAAATGCAAAATTTCTTAAATTTGAGATGAAATTATGAAAAACACATGTCTTTTCTCCTTTTTTGGCAAAGGGGGAGTTAAGTCTGTATGTTTTAAAATCCATCAATCAAGTTGTTTCCAAGTGATGGATGACCATAATCACAGAGTTATATTTATTTAACAAATGCAATTTGTCGAAAAAGTAAAAACTTCTCAAAATAATATTCTTAGATAGTAGTCTGGCTACAAAGCAGCTGCTCCATGAACTCAAAAGATTCCATTGGTTTCCTTAGGAAGGCATCAAGATAAAGAGCAGAAGCTAGGGGGCTCCATATCTGGGCCTGCCTCTGTAATTGTTATATGTACATCTGCAACTTACTTAATCGCCCTAACTCTCAGTTTTCTTTTCTGAAAACAGGGACAATAGTGAGATAAAGTATGTAAAATCCTTATTCCAGAACATGGAAGTCAGTAAATGTTGTTATTACTCTTAATTTGCTTCTTAGGGATTATTTGGAGAAAAATGAACTGATAAATTTTGACAGTATAATTCAAGCTGGGCATGGTGGTGCACACCTGAAATCTCAGC